TTTTTGGGGGGGGGGGTTCTCTTTCTCTAGATGGCACGGGGCAGAGTAGAGCTTCCAAATGAAATTAAATCATATGATCCAAAGGAATTGTGATGATAGAAACAAAATAATTAGTCAAAGTATACATACATTTATGATCCGAGGCAGTTTAGTATAAAAACCTATGATCTAAGCTTTATATCAGAGAGGTAGCATAGAAGAGTGATTAAAACCTGATTTATTTACTGCTAAATAAGTTATTGCACAACATTGCACACTGCTTAACTTTTCTTGTACTTAGTTCTTTATAATCTGTAAAATGGAGTAATAATAATATATATTACATAGGATTATTGTGAGGACCAAATGCTGTAATGAACATAAAGCGCTTTTGGACAGTGTCTGATTCTTCATGTTCAATACATGGTGAATATTATTATTTATTAAGATTTGGGACAGAAGGTACACACTCTGCTCACCTTGCTCCCTTTATTCCTGTTGGTAAAACATATCGATTGCCAATGTAAAAAACCTTGTAACTCAAACTGTGGCGTGTGAACCAGGAGTACTGGCATCAGGCGGAGGCTGGTTAGGAGTGCTTATCTCAGGCCCCACCTCAGACCAAATGAATCAGAACGTGCATTTTAACAAGAACACCAGGTGATTTGCAGGCACATTAAAACAGCAGAAGAAAATGGGCCAACCTGTGATGTGAACCTCTGGCTCCTAGACTAGCAACACACATGTCTCCAATTGAAGGCAAATTCAGCTTAAATCGTGTGGAGATATTAAATAATGTGGCATACCACACTCCAAATATACAGTCAATTGATCGTGTTTTAGGGTTGCTTTATGTGTGGACGTAAGGAGGTGTTGAAGTGTCTGAGTTCTAGACTTCTTTTTGCCACTAGGATGGAAAACTCACACCAGCTGTGTAGTCATTCCTCTGGCTCACGTGCCATTGGCACTGACTGCCATGGTCAAGGTCAAAAGGGGCATGTGGCCCTGCCACTAGCCTGGACAGAGTCCCATCATCCTGATTCTTTCCCTCCAAACTCTATCCTGACTCATACCTAGTCTTTTACTACATGGTAAAGAAACTAATCGCAAACATTCAAATTTTCCTGTTGTTTAAAGGAATCCATAAACCTAGAGAGAAAATATAACAGGGTAACTGGGAGCAATGTTAGATATATTAGCCAAATTCTTTTCTTTTCCCCAGGCAGAATAACATTATATCAAAGTCATTTTATACAGACTCACACAATGCCCATTTCATTGATGTACGAAATGCTATGATTAGCCACACTATATTATTCTCCTCATGGACATCCACTCTGGTTAGTAAATGCATGCTTTTAGGAAAAAGTTGTTCCTTATTCCTATGTAATTCTTCTCTACTTTGAGTCTGGGAATTCCCTCAAATATTTTGCTCCTCCTGTAATAACTGTTGTTTTTAGACATCATGATTTAAGATATTTTGAAAACCCTAAAATCCACCTCTTAAAAAATTTTAAATAGCTATCTGACAATTCAAATTTGAAAATAGATAAGAGAAGTTGCAGTAAGAAAGTCTTTTGCCATGAGACACTGATGATGCAATGTTACCGATTCATTCCCTCATACCAGAAGATGTAAAGGTGCTGTAGTAGGACCTTTGGCAGAGATCTTCTCCCAGAGGCCTCGTCTTACATAATGGACAGTAGTTCCAGCTAAATTGAATGCGCCAGAATGTTCAATCTTCCAATCACTATTAATAGATTGTTTGCCAGCATCTCGGAGAGCTATAAAGAGATTCAAAAATATTATGAGTATTAACAAGTCACCATCACTGATCAATACCCACTTCACATTATTTCATTAAAAGCATTCAATTCATTTCTAAACTGAGTCTACACTCCCTGATGAAAGACATGAGACATCTCTTCTTAGGAAATGTCCATAATCATGGCAAATGCCTCAAGCTTGCCTTCAAGTTGTCCACAATTCCATAGTCACATTTATCTCTGCCTCATCCAATCCCCTTGGACGCTTGATATCTGTACCCATTATTTTGGCCCTTAGTCATTCATTCCTTTTTTTTTTTTTTTGGACTTTTTTTTCAATTTTTAAAATTTTGTCACTACACAATGTAAACATTTTTTATGTCCCTTTACCAGTTTATTTATTCTTTAGCACATTCTTATGTTAAGGCTGTGTGTCTCTGTCTAATCTATCTAATGACCCTATGAACATTGTGAAGGCTGGAACTACATCTTACACATGCTCTGTATCTACTGTGCCCATTCAGAAAAGAGCGTGATTAAGGAAGGATCATTAAACACCATGTTAACTAACAGATCAAAATGACTCCAATGTTTATTGTAGCTCTATTTACAATAGCTAGGCAATGGAACCAACCTAGATGTCCGTTGATGGATGACTGGATAAGGAAATTGTGGTATATATACACAATGGAATACTACTCAGCCATAAAAAAGAATGAAATTCTACCACTTGCAGCAACGTGCATGAGCCTGGAGAAAATTATTCTAAGTGAAACAACCCAGGTACAGAAAGAGAAATACTGCATGTTTTCACTCATAACCGGGAGCTGAATTCATAAATGAACAAATGAACAATAAAGTGATACAAAGAGAAAGAAAGAAAAAACAACAATCACAGTAATATGTTGAACTTTTAGAAAACTACAGGTGGAAAAGGGGAGGGGAGTGGGAAAGGGAGGGGAGCTAATGAGGAATTGGTTAACAGACAGAAAGAATGATTGCATATTGTAATGATGAATAAGCTAACTATACTGATCTAACCACCACACATTGTACACAATTATTGAAAATCAATGTTGTACCCCACATGTATGTATAATAAAAAAAACAAAGGAAACCCAAGTTGATTTTCATAATGGTTGCATCATTTTATGCTCCCATAACATTGACTGAGAGTGCCCATTTCTGAACACCTTGGAAGTAACTTTCTCTTACATAACATTTAATCATGATTGAATAATTACGCATCAAGTGTCAGTATACTCAAACAATACTCAAAGTTCTGGAACCCCCAAAACGAACAACATAGATATGTTCTCTGGCCTTATTGCAACTTATAATTGAACTGGAGAACCAGACATTCAAGTAAATAACTAATTTAACATGCTGACACTTGTGGAGGAGGAGTTGAGAAAGGCTTGTCTGAAGGATGTTATTTAAAACTGAAGAAGTTAGCTAGGGGAAATAAGAGAAGAGAAAGAGCATTCAAGACCGAGGGAACTACAAATGGAAAGGTCTTAAAGCTCAGCTTGATCAGGATCAGGAGGGAAGTGTGTATGGAGCTAAACGTGCTAAAGCAGACCATGAAGGGATAGCCTGGAGAGGTGAAAATAGTCAGATCTTATAGGCCTCGTTAGTACTTTGAGGGTTTTCCTAAGGGGGAAAAATGTAAAACTTTATTTTATTATGAGAAAAAAATAGACGGTGTAGAGTAAATTTAGATAGCGAAGACAGGATATAACAATAAACATAGCAGCCCAATTGAAAGTAATGGTGGCTTGGATATAATTTGTGGTGGAGAAAAATCACAATGCATTTAGGAGTGAAATTGATAGAATATGGTTGTGACTTAGTTGTCCTGGGAAAAAGGAAGTGTCAAGCAGGATGTCAGATTGCTAGGATAAAAAGATAGGTGGGTTATGATGGTAAGTAATAGGATGGGAAAATCTATCAAAAGAACATGATTGAAGAGAAATATCAGAAGTTAAATTTTGAACAATCTAGTTTTTAAATTTTTTAAAAGGATCTTTTTTTATTGTTACTGAAGATTTGTTTTCATTTGCTTATTCGTGACTTGCATTTTTTAATATATTAGGGTATTTCTGCCCCACTGGTGGACTTTCTGGTGCTTGTATTCTCATTATTACAAGCAATGTATTTATGAAATTATTGAAACTTATCTCATTAATCTTAATTTCCATCAAATAATACTTATATCATGTACTTGATATAAAGTCTAAAATAATGTTTCAATTGAAATGTTAAACAAGCAAGCATACATATTGTCAGATTTATGAAAAAAATGTAAGTATTCATTTTTGCTTTGAATTTTAAACCTGAACAGGAAATATATTGACAGAAAACTCTCAACATTTTGCAAATAGCTATTGCTATCTATAAGTGGATATACTTCAGACAATACTAAATTGAAAAAAAATTAATGATTCTTCCTAAAAGATAAAGTATTTCCTTGCAATAACCAAAAGTCTATTAAATATTTTGAGGAATCTTTTTGACTTAGATTTGTACTGTGGTCAGTACAATCCTGATTTTTTTCCCTGCATTTCAACACATCTCCAGGACATAATTATAAATGAATATTTTCTGAAAATCTCTACTAAAAATGCCTTAAACCCTCTGGAGACGGCTAGAGTTGGTATTTTTGGCATTCAGCACTCCCCAGAAAATGACACACACATGTACCTGAAAACTCACACAATTTATTAGCTTAATAGCAACCTCACATGAAGAACTAGTACTTTGGGTATGTGATGTTTCTTGATTCTTGTTTTTAATTCATTAACTTTGAAAATGTGTTTTTGGAAATCCTTCTGGCTGTGACCGAGTAACTGGAATTGCACTAGCTCTCCCAGTGTAAACAACTAGAAAACTAGGCAATGTACAAGAAACGACTGTTCTCAGATATTGGACAACTGACAATAATTATCCCTAAGAGAAGGAGAACAAACGAGATGATTTCTAAAATTGCCTGACTTTCTTCCTGAAGATATGTACCAGACCCCCCACTGGGAAGTGAAAGTCCTGCAAAGCACAGATGATGAAGGCTTCAGTGAAATGAGGACACAGAGAATGGAGTTAAAATTGGCTAAGCATCTGGAATGTGTTTTGTGGAGTACTGGAGAAGAGTAAGATACAGAGAAGGAGCTCCAAAAAATCTGCACAGGGGTTCCTTTGAGCCTGTGGCTGAATACTAAACTGCAGAAACGTAGGGCAAACCTCCTCAAAGCTGGGAAAACTACATGGGAACTCTGAACTGTGTAACTCCTGGAGCTTGAGTAGGGATGGAAGACATATGAGTTCTATGCAATCTGGATAGTGAGATCTTAGTAAACAAAGAATTTACTAAGTGGAGAACCTAAAAGGACACATATAAAAAATGAGGCTAAACTAGTCCTAGAGTAAAGACTACTCTAGATCCACCTGAACAGAGCTTTATTAAAGCTTCAAGAAGTCCAACTGATCAGCAAGTAAATTCACAGCCTAGCAAAATGAAGCTCAACACTCAATAATAAAGAATAACAAAATACAGTCATTCATAAAATAAAATAAAAGTAAAGTAAAATAAAATATGTGTCACATTAATAGTTTCCAGCACCCAACCAAAAATTACTAGATCTGTGAAGAAGTCTTAAAATGTCTTAATTATAATCAGGGGAAAAATCATTCAATGAAATAAAACTCAGAAATAATAGATATGATGTAACTAGTAGACCAAGACTTTTAAACGGCTGTTATGAATATGTTCAGTATGCATAAGAATTTAAAGAAAAACATGTAATATTGAAGAGTAATGGAAACTATAAAAAATAAGCACATCAAATTCCTCAGAATAGAAAAATACAATATCTCTAACAAATTCACTGCATGGGCTTAAGAGCAAACTAGGCATTGTGAAAGAAGTCAGTGACTTGAAGACAAACTAATAAATTAGAAACTAAGTGGAGTACAGGGAGAAAAAAGCCTGGAAGAAATGAGCAGAACATTAATGACCCATGGGAAATACCTGGTAGACTCACATACGTATAACTGGAACCCCAGAAAAGGCTGTGGGGGTATACAAATTATTTGAAGATACAGGGCTCAAAAATTTTCCAAATTTGATAAAAATGATAAGCCTACATCTCTAAAAAGTAAAATGTTACCTGATATAGTTTGAATATGTTTGTCCCCCCTAAAGGTCATACTGAAGTCTAATCCCTAATGTGGCAGTGTTGGAAGGTGTTTGGCTCATGGGGACAGATCCTCATGAAAGATTAATGCCCTTCCTGGGGTGGGAGGGGTGTATGTGACTGAGGTCTCACTCTATCAGTTCCCACAAGAACTGGTTGTGAATTGGAGCCTGGCACCTCCCCTCTCTCTCTTTCTCTTGCTCTCTCCATGTGATCTTGTACCCACTGGTTGCCTGCTGCTTTCTGCCATCAGTAGAAGCAGCCTGAGGCCTGCACTAGATGCAGCTGTCCCAGAATCGTGAGCCAAATAAACATTTTTTCTTTATAAATTACCCAGTTTCAAGGGTTCTGTTATAGCAATACAAAAATGGACTAATACAGAACCCATGTAGAATAAGCACAAAGACAGCCATACAAGGTACATCATAATCAAACTGCTGGAAACCAACGATAGGGAGAAAAATCTTTAAAGTGGCCAAAGAGAAAAAGGCACATTATATACCAGGGTAAAAAGATTTTAAAATTCACTGGATATGCCGTCAGAACTAATGCAAGCCAGAAGACAATAAAATATCACCTTTAAGGTGATAAAAACAAGGCACAATAAAGCAACACAAAATCTAAATAAAATTTAGAATTCTATATCTAGTGAAAATATACTTCAGACGTGAAGGCAAAATAAATATATTTTCAGAAGAACAAAATCTGAAAAATTCTGTTGCCAGCAGACTTGCTCTACAAAAATTTTAAAAGATGTTCTTCAAAAGATAATGGTTCCAGAGAGAAACAGGTGTCTATGTGAAGGAAAAAAGAATGTTAATACTGGTA